AACCCCGCGGGACATGCCCGTGTAGTTTAAGGGTTGGGGTTAAACTATCCAAAGTTCTTCATGGTGCGTGGTCCGACCGAGCACCAGTCCGATTTATCCGTCCCTGATGGCCCGCCGAGCGTGCTCCCGCTCCAGCATCAGCGTGCCGACAGGAGGCCCGGTCACAGTCGAGCTCCCTCTTCCCTTCCCTTTCCGCGGCAGCCAGCCACCCCATTTACTTCAAACTTTGCATGTAGGCCGTAGTGGATATGAAATACAACATATCCAAATTAAAAGCGATAATTCCGTCGGGAAGGGGTTACATTGTGGTGTCAAAGTCAATAAGTTGAGGTGCGATGTTTGATGGGGTAAGCCACCAACCCAACCAGACCCAACTCAATATATATATTTTCACCCAGGCAACGGAGCGGTGCAAAGCGGTGCAGGATCAACAAAGTAAATAAAAATAGCAAAACATATAAGAAAACTGAAAGGCTTCATTCTGGAGTGATTTTAAACACAGAAAAACAAACATTCACACCAGATCAGATCTGTCAAGTTTCACACAAAGACACTGAATGAAGGAAATATATATATATTCAATGCACAAGACAGACCCAGCATCGACATGGAACATCAATTATTTATCCACTGTGAATCATACCTCATTATCATATGCCGCCGGTGCAAGCACGCTGTGTGGCCAACCGAGATTGAACAGCATCTGAAAGGCAAGGCCCATCAGCTAAAGCATGCGGTGGTTCAGCAGATAAAGGAGAACATTGAACAGTGGGACAATGTGGCTCGAGATACTACACAGTTAACACTGCCCACATACTACACAGTTAACACTGCCCACAATACTGAATGAACCAATCCCGGAACTACCCATTCAAGATGGCTACAGGTGCCAGCGGGATCCCCAGTGCCAGTATGTGGCAGGGAACATGAACACCATGCGCAAGCACTGGCAGAACAAGCACAGCTGGTCGCCATATCCCAGCCGTGGCCGTACAGCGCCACAAAAGCGTACGGCAGCACAGGATGAGGTGGACAGATCATGCCAGAAGGTGCAGTTCCAGCAGGTATTTGCATCGCGCAAGGGCTCCCACTACATACAGATCCAGACTAAGGAGACTACTGAGCACACCGGCACGCCAGACCAGAACAGAGCCAGCCATGTCATTGATGAGCTGGAGCGGTTTTACCGGGAACAGCAACGGCAGACCAGCAATGTCATCCAGGCCGGGGAGCACGATGAAGCCAACCCATGGCTGCGGCGGACCAGATGGCCGGGTGTACTTGACCAACATCGCACCCAATGATCTGGTCAACTGCGTGCAGCGCCCCGACGATGACACCACGTGCCCCAAATGAACTGGCCGCGAGGGCCATCTGGGAGGCCATGGGGCAGGTTGCCCGTACCAGCCAGCGAGTCATCACACGGCTGGGCCACTTCGTCCGCATCGAGGCCATCCGCACAGAGCGACACCAGACCCGCCACACCCCGTTGCAGGCATACATGGACGAGGAGAGCATCGCCGAGCACGTGAGGCCATGCCAGCAGATGTTGATGTTTTTCGCCCGAACGCAGGTCGAGCATGAATGGACGAGCGCACAGTACCGGTTCACACCACGGCAGCGCAAGACATGGAGGGTATTATGGCAGGTAGCCACCACAGAGGGAGCCGACCAGCGACACCCCATCAGCCCAGACCCCATGGATGAGCAGATGACTGAGGAAGAAGAAGAGGAGGAGGAGGTGGAGGAGGAGGAGGAGGAGAAGAGACAGAGAGATACCCAGTCAGAAGAAGAAGATAAGTTCAAATTAGTCAAGATTCAGATGGCATGTTTGGATTTTTGCATTGACCACCGGAACCCAGTGGGTTCAGATGGAGGATTTATGCCCCCGCCGATGAT